ATAAATATTTTTAAGAAGCATAACAATCCAGGCAGAAAAAATGAAAAGAAACTGACATCTGTATGCATCATGCATGGTGCAACTGTAGAAGAACAAAGATAATGAGAAAAATATTATGAGCAATCAGAAAAGAGCAGTTATATTAACAGGTGATTTGATTATAATAATGGATGACAGAAGACAGTGTAATGCTATCTTTGACATGCTGACTAATAACGTCTACCAACTCAAACTTCTATATCCAAAGAGACTATATATTTCAAGGATGAGGAAGAAATAGAGATTTCTTTTAAATAAGCAGACTGTGAGATAGACTGTCCCCTCAAGACCCTTAGGACAGGAATTTCTCAGAATATATTTCAAGCAGAAGAAAAAGTGATCCTAAAAAACAAATGCAAGGTTCGTAAAGAAATAAATAGCAAAGAACGCTGCAAATATTAGGCAAATGTAAACAAACATTGACTCTATAAAACAGAATAATGTCTAGTGGTATTAAAAAATCAAAATACCTGATAATAACAACATATATATTGAAAAAGTGATAAACTGATTAAAAATATTCTAAGGTAACCTTGGGAGACGGTAAAGGATCTCATAGTAGCTTGATACTTTGATAAGCATAGTGCTTTGATATATACTATAATCCTAGGCTAACTATACTAACAGAGTAGAAACAAAATGTGTCCCTCTCAAACTGGTAGAGAAAAGAAAAAAATGGAATGATAAAATATTAAAGGACAGAAAAAGCAAGAAATACGTAGTGAAAGAAGCAAAAAACAAAAGAAACATACACTATGATTCCATTTACATGAATTTAAAAAAACCTAAATTACATTTTAAGGGATATAGCTATAAGTGGGAAAATAAAAAAAGACAATAAAAGAATGACTAAAATGCAGGTTAGTGGCTAACTCCAGAGGAAGGAAAGAGGCTATGATGCCAAAGGGACAAATGATATGGAGTGGAGCTTCTGAAGGGCTGGCAGGGTCTATATCTCATCCTGGGTGGTGCTTATATGGGTGACCGATTAATACATATTAAAAATACATATAGATGTTTTATAAATTTTACTTAAAATGGTTTCTGCATTATTTTATAATATTTTACAGATTTTAAGTGAGTTATAAATAAAAATACATGAAAAAAGTGAGAATCTGAACACTATCCTTCCCTTCATAATCCAGAAAATCTGGATCTCGGGATACCAGTGGTTTTTCTTCTCACTGCAGAGCCAGCCAGCCAGTCCAAATCAACCTGCCCTGATGTGAGGTTAAATGAACAAAAGAGAGAGCATGTTAGGCAAATAAGGGGGACAGTTTCCTTTCTTGGTAAAGAGTGCCTTTTATTTTGATAATTTTATCCTTCCTATATTTTGGATTGGGTATTTTATAATGTGCTTTCTGTTATAAAATGCTGATGATAGTAGGTGGTCAATTATAATTTAATGTCCTTTTTATAAAACAAGGACAGAATAGGTCATTCTTACTTCTCCTTTAAACTCACTGAGGAAGCTATGAATCTCTATGAAAATAAGCAAGTGATTCTGTGCTTATTTGCACAATAAAGCTGCTTTTGATAAAATTGTGACTTAGATATTGTTATGGATTGAATGTTTCTGTTCCCCTAAAATTCCTATGTTGAAATCTTAAGCCCCAGTGCGATGCCATTAGGAGGCAGGGCCTGTGGGGGGTAATTAGATCATAAAGGTGGAGCCCTCATGAATGGAATTAGTGTCCTTATATGAAAAGACATGAACATCTGCTCTCTCGCTTTTTGCCCTTTGCTGTGTGAGGATACAGCAAGAAGACAGGACAGATGCAAACCAGGAAGTAGGACCTCAGCAGACACCAGATCCACTAGCGCCTAGATCATGGGCTTCCCAGCCTCCAAAACGGGGAGAAATAAATGTGTGTGGTTTAAGCCACCCAGTCTTTGCTACTTGGATATAGCAGTCCTAACTGAATAAGACAGATATGAACTGGAAGAACTTCAGTGAGAAAGAAAAGTAGCCAAACACGGAATGTGGGGTCAGGCACAATACTTTGTGACATGCTGTATCAAATGTGAAAACAGTAAGGGTAAGAGCCAAGGGAAGAAGATGGGAACCCTGGGAAACTTCATATGGACATTCAGGAGGTTAACATCTAGAGCCCTAAATGGATGCATGGCTTAATTTTCAGTATTAGTCATTGCTCTGAGATAGCATTTTATACTGCTTACAGATACATTCTTTCTGAGGTCATGCATGATGGAGTTTCTTGAATTAGTATATTCTCTCTTCTATAAATGAATCAGGTCAAGTGCAAAACTAATATGATGTAATAATATAATTATTCTCTATATTGTGTACCATAGAATATACTATATTTCTATATTTAATAGAGTATGATATAATAAAGCATAATAATTATTTTTTGGTCATTATGTATTTGTTTTTACTAATTAATTTTATTCCTTACTAATTATGTTGGCAGGGATCTCTATGCCCATTTCACAGGTAAGGATTCTGAAGCTCAAGGAAGTGAGTAATGTTTTAGCTACTAAGTGGTAAAAACAGAATTACATCCCATTCAAAAGTATTAGGGTCCAACTTCAAAACTGCTCTGGCTGTTTTTGTTGCCTTGTCTCACTACTGCATTAACATTTAAAGATCATTTGTATAAAGATTAATTTATTCTTTATATTTATTCTTTTAAATCACATTTATTCTTTTAAATCACATTCTGCACTCACTCAGGCAGCTTGTAATGACCCCTAGGAGGAAAGGGCAGACTTTTTTCCAAGAAGCACAATGAACAACACCAGAACAAGTCTAAGGGGGTACAAGAGAAATTCAGAAACTTGAGCATAAATCACTTTCAGAATAAAACCACAGCATCTTTAATCAAGGCCTGGCAATCATTGTGTTGTTTCTCCAAGATTGGAACTGGTAACTGCGGGCTATCCCACTAGGCCTTTAATACTTGGTTAGAAATGGATCCAAGCAGTTGACTAGCAAGACAATTCATGCAGCACAAACATGAATCTGTGATTCTCTTACCCATTACCACAAAACACAGTTAGTTCCTGCCCTGAATTGACTTTAAAGACATTGAGTGCCTGGGAGAAACCATAAGAGCATTATAAATGGAGCCAGAAGTAATAAATAAGAACTGCCAAAAAAATGTTAACAAATTTCTCCTGCAAGTCAAGTCTATTGTCAATTTACAACAGTTCTGAAGGTTGAACGAGAGGCATGCAATTAGTGAGCTAACTTGCAAGGTTTGCCTGCAATCAAAAAGGGAGTTTTCTTTCACCTGTATAATATTTAACAGCTGATAATTTTATCTCCTGGTAGAAAAAATTAAAATAATAAAATAAAAATAAACCAAATGCTTTAAAATATGGACTCTTATCTCTCCCATTATCCCACATATTAGAATAAACGCTTCTCCCAATGGAATTCTTCTCACTTAGCAGGGGAAGATCATCTTTTCAGCAGCCAAACTCAGCAGGCCAGTGACTTTCCTTCCCTCCTGACTTCCCCCTAAGACTCATTCAAAGGGAAGACAAAGGACCTACAAGTGGATGCAAGTTGTTTTGTGCCTGGCCCTTAGGTGTACTTCATTTTCCTTAAAAAGATTATCTCAGCCTTACTGTAGCCAAAAATAAAAACAAAATAAAATCCTAAAACAAATTTCTGAGGCAGTTTAAATTAAAAAGGCAAAGGACTGAGAAATACTTTTAATTTATTCATGATTAGTTTACAGATCGGACAGCACTGAGACTCCAAAATCAGCAAGCCACTTGGGGATAAAGGCTACTGCAGTTATCAGAAGCAAGCCAAACGCTACCTTTTGTTCTTAATTAAAATCTTCTTTTAAAAAAAATCTCATAGCAAATGATTTTCTATTTTCCATTTAAAGAGGATTACATAGCAAACACAACCAGTGGCTGGAGAGCAAAGAACTTCCCATCGTTTTATTACCTGCCAAATATAAATTAGTTCATTGTGGGTAACTCCTGCCAGGCGACCCCTTTCCTTGTCATCCATCAGGCCGATGGGCTGTGGCAGGTTAGTTCCTGCCCGGAGTCCTTGAGTCTTTCCTAATCAGGAGGCTGTCAGATATGTTGCCTGCCCACTGTCTCCTACATCTTGTGGCAGCTCTTATATTTGGGCAGCAGCGGCTTAAGCTTGAATTGCCCCAGTAACTGGCTCTGAATTGCTCTTACTTACTATCACTGTCAAATCTTTGCAGGCATATGTGAGGGCCTCCTCCAGGTACAAGGAAGAAACCCTACAAATTTCACTTTGTAATAACTACACGATACAGAAATTGTATTAGCTCCATTAGATGGAGTCATAGAAATATTCGAAAAGGTTAGCTGGATATAGTGAACGTCACAGTTACACTAAGATAAAAAAATCGCTTGTCTAATTTAGAGTGTTTCCTCATTGGTAATACCCTATATTAAGGTGCCATTTATAAACAGTTTATTATTATTTATTAATGTCTGAAGCACTTTATAGCATGCTAGATAACAACTTGAATTCATGTATTAAAGATGCACATACATGGTTTAATACGATTTACGTCTTATAATATTCTTTAAAACAGCTTCCCATAGTATCATCCGTTAAGCATTTATTACTAATGCATTTTATAACATACTTTATAATACATTATTTGAGCAAGTAGCTGCATTTAGTGATCATTTCATACATAAGAATAAGGCATTTATAAATGTCATCTTAATTTAAAGTGTTACCTTCGCATTACTACATAGCTGCTCACCATACATCTCATTTTGTGATTATTCTCCAAATGCACCACTTAATAAAACAGACACTAAGTTCTATTTTCCCTTCATCTGATTAAAAGTTTATTGAGTCATTTTCGCCAAATGTTTTCAGATGTTGGTAGCTTGGAGGTTTTAGTGTGATTTCTGATAAAACCAAACTTTTAATTCTACAATATTTCTGAAAAGATGTTTAACAATAGAAGTAGAGAATTACTTACCATATTGGACAGAGCCTGTTGCTTGGATTCTTTGTAAAATTCAATTTTTCGACTAGAAAGAACAACCCAGGAAGTAGACCAGTTTTTCCTTAGAAAAAAAAAAAAAAATAAAAAGGAAAAAAAAGCATTATCAGTTGAAGAAATCATTTATAGATACAATATGAGCAACATTTGGAATGAGTAGAGACCATCTTTATTTTTAACAGTCTTCCTAAAAGTCTCCTCTTTATTAAAATCTACAGGTGGTATGGAATTTGGGTAATAATAAACACGTTCTGGAATTATTTAAAAGCATAGCATTTATAGTAAGAATTTCTCAATTTATAGTTCCTCCTAAAATCTTTTTCAACCACCAAAAATCCATTTTTTTGTGTATCCATGTGCATCCTTTCCATAAAAAGTTTATGTTTCTACAGCAAACCAAAAATAGCAAAGTAAAAGTAGGAATCAGAACCCGTTCCTTCCTTCATTGTTTCTTCTCTTCTTTGGTTTAGTGTATTTCAGTCTTAAAAACTAACCAGCCTCATGTGTCATTGCTTAATTCAAAATATTTTCATAATGTTGAATCTTACAGAAATCAAAGATATACAAATAAAATAGTGACATGCATTTTCCCTCTTTGTACCTCAAATTGTCAAGGAATAAAAGAAATAACATCTGAGAACATCTAGGGATAATCAGGGTGCAGGAAATAGATTCTCTCATATACTATTGGTGGGAGTTCAGACTGTTGCTTCCTTTCTGGAGTGCAATTTGACAATGTGCTTTTTAAAAATCCCTAAAAATGTGTATATCTTTCAGCTAAACATGTCCATTCCTATGAATTTAAATTAATTTTACAGAAATAGTCTCACAAGTTGCTGAGTCTGTGTCCATAGAAGTTAACTGCATCATTATTTGTTAATTCCCATACATTAAATGTAAAAAAAAGATGATTGGTTAAATAAATTGCATATAATAGATCCATATAATGGAATAATGAACCCTATGCTATAGAAGAATACTAACGTGGGAAGGTTTTAATGCAGGCCATAATACATGTAGCTTATAACTGTGCTGTGCTTTTTACCGTGGACTTTCTTCACCCATCCCAGCCCCTTCTGTTTATTAATTCCATTAATTAGATGTCAAAACATTGCCTTGTTATATGTGCCTTCCATGACTTCTTATCACCTATGATAAATTTTAAAAATATTTTTCATAAATTTCTCCTCTATCCTCCATTAAGAAATGAGCCCCGAGATGGTAGAAATCATTTCATCTTTACAAAGGTATGCCCAATGCCTAGCATGGTGCTTTGGACAGAATAGACACAAAATGCATATGTATTGGGACAGTGACTGAATTTGGGCCTGGAAAAAGTCTTGATATGACAATAGTTAAATCGTGTGGTAAAATCATGGCTTTTGAGTTTCCTTTGTATCTGTTGGTGTTTACCAATTTTTTTTTGCATTGAGGGTATATTGCTTCTGTAGTTAGAACATGTATATGTTCATGGCATGAAAGCACTCTTTTGTAGATAGTAAAGACATTAAGGAGATTAATGTACTTAAGTTTCTACCCATTAGAGCCTATTGCTGCAGTTTGCTGCGGCTTGACATTCACTTCAAAATAGTTGAATTCATTTAACAAAACTGATTTTTTTTTAAAGTTTATGGAAAGACTTTATTCAGGTCAATAGAAAACCACACCATTATATTTTTTAAATGACTATCGAAGATCTTTGTGTAATTTATTTCCACTTGCCTTTGAGAAACTAAGAGCTTGATTGAAAAGGCAGCTTTGATTCAGTAAGGTTAATATTTATAAAAAGAATTAGATTGCTCTTACATGCCTGGAGCTTTCTTAATGATACACCATTGTGTTAAAAAGAACAGAATAAGCAGACACACAAGAAACATAATGTGTATTTTTCAACATCCAAATACAAACACTGTGTTCTTGGACCCACTTGTCTTTAAATGAAGAGTCTCAATTTTTCAATTAAATGATGAAAAGATGAAATAACAAAACCCAGAAAGAAAACTACGTAGGCATTTTCTTCTGCTTTTGCCCATTTCTCTTTTTAGGTACCAGAAGCAACAGAGTGAATTGAAGCAGCAATAGCCTTCTCTTCATGCAGGTCATAATAATAGGTGGCCCCAAACAGGAAAAAGAGAAACATTATTAGAAGTCTAGTCTCGGTATCTTATAATACCACCCTTATTTTGAACATATGTAATCAGAAAGTACAGAACACTCTCACACATGAAGAATCCATATTTAACCTGCCTATTATATTTCCCACTTTATTTTTCATCTTCTGACAAGGAGAGACTATACCTTATTTGTGACCTATCTATACTAAGTTCTGGATAAATGGTTCTGATCTGAATCTGTTTCAGACGTTGATCACTTACAGAACTTGCTGTCAAAACTCTCCCCATCCTTAAACTTGGAAGTGGAACTGGTTAGAACTGAAGTTGCATGAAATGCAATTATCTCTTTTTTTTTTTTTCATTAGGACTTTGAACTGCTGTGAACTGTGTCCCTGTTAGGTGAATTGGGTGAACAAACTGAAGAGGGTAAGAACTGCAGGTCTTGAAACCTTAGCACATGACTTACTCTGACACCTTATGTACAGTGCTACTTCGTTTTCAATTTATAAACTATAAACACTGTCTTTATCTTCTCTGGATAAAAGTGAAAGCTTTTCCATGGGTTGAGTGTTATTGTTTGAAAATAATTGCATTTCAAAATGAATAATAATAATGCTGCTGACAACCTTTTTGATGTCCTCTTTCATCTCAATTTTCCCCATTATTTATTTTAAAATAATAATTAGCATAAATTATTTAGAATACCTAGCATAAATCTGATCATCTAGTTTACGTTTAGCTTCATACACCAAAATGATGAAAGTATTAACATCTCTATTTACTAATATGAAAAATGAGGCTCAAAGGGTAACTTAAGGCCTTACACTTAGGTTTAAAGTCAAACCCAGTTTATCTGACTCCAAAACCTATAATCTGTTCATTACTTTATGCTGTCTAGTTTTTTTTAATCCAAATTATTTATTTATTTTTTAGTGGCTCAATATATATTTTTTGAATAACTGAAAGACATGAGTTTACACTAATCTGCCAATGAAAAATGGATCTGGGTACAGGATTTGCAAGGCCCAGTGCAGGATGAAAATGCAGCATTCTGTGTCCCAAAATTATGAAGAGGTTTAAGACAGTAACAATCTAGCATTAAATGGAGGGCAGAGTCCTTCAGAGCATGGGGCCCTGGATGCATGCCGGTAAAGCCTGCCTTAACTACAGTATGACTTTACAACAATGGCCAAAGAATAATTTCTTTTTTTAATAATGTCTTTTTTAAAAGGATTAAGCAGTACTACCTTAGTTAATGATATTGCCAAAGTCAGATTTCAATGTAATTTTGTTTGAAATCTTCAAATTATAAAAGCTAGTGGGGATAGTGTGAGATAAGGTATCAGCTATCCAGGCTCTGTTATTAACTATTTAACCTGATCCTTATTAGAAAGACTGGGCAAAGCCCCAACACTTCCAAGCTCTCTTCCCCTAGAGGTTGCGCTGATTCAAAGGAATAAGATGATGTACTGTTCAGCTCCTCATTAGAAGCCAGAAACAGGCTGGGCGTGGTGGCTCAGTCTGTAATCCCAGCACTTTCGGAGGCTGAGGTGGGCAGATCACAAGGCCAGGAGTTCGAGGCCAGCCTGGCCAACGTGGTGAAACCCCGTCTCTACTAAAAATACAAAAGTTAGCCGGGCATGATAGTAGGTGTCTGTAATCCCAGCTGCTCGAGAGGTGGAGGTTGCAGTGAGCTGAGACCGTGCCATTGCACACCAGGGGAAAAAAAAAAAAAAAAAGAAGCCAGAAAGGTAAGGTGTGTGTTTCTAACTGGACGGTACCTCTGTCTTTTTCCTGCCAGGGATTATCCTGGTCTGTGATTAGCAGACTCATCTGCACTCAGTAGGGAACATAAAACCAGGAAGGGAGTCAGGAACCTGTAGTCTAGGAGTAGCTGAGGCTTCACCTAATGAGAACATTTCGCTATAACTTAAGTCTGAACCTTCCTCTCTGATCAAAGTACTCTAGAAACTTGACCACTATCATTAAAATATCTGTCCAGTCTATTTCCCATTCTGACATGTCTGACCCATTGTGTTGCTCAGAGTTCTCAGCATATCAGTGGAATAGCTTCTTCACCCAATTCTCTAACATGGTGACTCTCTTGTAAGGCATTGTCAGCTCTGGAGTGTGCAAAGGACCACTTGACAAGGTTTTGCCTTGACTTAAGGATTTGATGCTAACATATGCAACCAAATCACTATATATGACTCTTATTCAATACATTGCAGGAAGTGGGTAGCGCCTACAAGCTTAAAGGCCTTAGCCAGGACAGGTTAAGGCCTTAGCCAGGACAGCAGTTTCTCATGAAATTTTGCAAATAGACTATTTTCTAGGATAAAGCAGTTTTCACACTAGAAAGTCCTTCTATGGCCCAAACTCCCACAAAGAGGTAGAAACCACCTCTATCTTCTTAGAACATTTCCACGATTGGGCATACTATCTGACATTTAGTAGGTGATTATTACATATTTTTTGAGTAAAAGAATATACGGCCTTTCAAATTTCAGGAGAGCCATACTTCTAGGTTCTTTCTGCTCTGTGTTTACTGTTTTTCACTAACAAGGTCGAAAATATTTCATTTACTTTCTTTGTTCCTTAGTTTCCTAGTGCTTTAATATGGTATTTATAGCATTATTTTTTTCTTAACTATCTAACACTTCTGATTTAGGATATTTTTTCCTAACTTATACTTCTAGTAGGCAATACCTGAGCTTTCTTCAGAGGACTTCCCACCCTCAGCTTGCACTTACTTCTGCTCTGTTCCAGGTATGCCACCTGGCATTTTATATGCATCATACAATTTAATTATTAAGCCAATCACAAGTATCCATCGAACATTTGCCACATACCAAACACAATTCTAAGGGCTGAATAGAGATGGAAAAACAAGAGACACCTCAAAAATTTTACCCCTAAGAAGCTGGAAAATAAATATGGAAACCAAGTC